TGTTCAGGAGTTTCTGGCTGCTCTTCATGTTCATCTGACCTTCATCAACTCTGGAGTCAACCTGATGGAAGAAACACAATCAACTATCCCTACGTTGTTCCACAAATCCAAAATAATATCTCTACACCAGAATGCTGTTGACCGGGCCTTACAGAGTTCAAATGGACACCTGGACCTGATGCTGCGTTTTCTGCTGGGACTTTCACTGCAGACCAATCAGAGACTCCTTAAAGGTCTGCTTACACAGACAGGAAGTAGCTCACTGACCAATCAGAGACTTTTACAAGGTCTGCTGGTACAGACAGGAAGTAGCTCTCAGACCAATCAGAAAATAGTTCAATATATCAAGGAGAAGATCAGTGAGAATGAGTCTGCAGAGAAAAGCATCAATCTGTTCCACTGTCTGAATGAACTGAATGATCGTTCTCTAGTGGAGGAGATCCAACAGTCTCTGAGTTCAGGAAGTCTCTCCACAGATAAACTGTCTCCTGCTCAGTGGTCAGCTCTGGGTTTCATCTTAGTGTCATCAGGAAAAGATCTGGATGTGTTTGACCTGAAGAAATACTCTGCTTCAGAGGAGGCTCTTCTGAGGCTGCTGCCAGTGGTTAAAGCCTCCAACAAAGCTCTGTAAGGAACCATGGGCAGTATTTTTGTTTATCTGTTGAAATATTTTGCCTATTTGTATTAAATCAGGAGGATATTAAAACATATTTAATTAAACTTTAACATAGTCACCATTGTAAGCTTTGAAATTGACATTTTTGTCTAAAGATTCATATTGACATAAAAACCCAGCGATTCTTTACTAGCTGGGCAAAAGTTGTTCCAAAGCCACTCCTTGGTTATTTTAGCTGTGTGCTTAGGGTCATTGTGTTGTTGGATAGAGAAGCTTCAGCCCATAAAGGTTTACATGCAGGGTCACGATAGACGGTTTTATATTGTGTGCTTTATGTGGCCTGCTTGTTTGAAAACATAATGTTGGTTGGAAAATAATCTGCTTTAAACACATTATTTGACCTAACCGATCTGTGTACTTCATTCATAATTCTAAATGTGAAGCACAATGCTAACTTAATTTTATTTTTATTTCCAATCAGCTATTCTAGGCAAAAGTTAATTTATTGATTAAACATCTGTCTGATTATCTTTTTGTTGTCATTCTTCAGACTGAGTGACTGTAACCTCTCAGAGAGAAGCTGTGAAGCTCTGTCCTCAGTTCTCAGCTCCCAGTCCTCCAGTCTCAGAGAACTGGACCTGAAAAACAATAGTTTGAAGGATTCGGGAGTGAAGCTTCTATCTGATGGACTAAAGAGTCCATACTGCAAACTAGAGAAACTAACGTAAGTATCAGAAACCTGGATCTGACTTCCTAAGCTTGTTCATAAAGGCTTTCTCTATGTACAATACATAACATTTATATATTTAAAATGGTATTTACATGCTGGTTGCCCTGTTTGTTGCTTCAAAAATATTGAAACAACAGTTTTACTTAATTTTTGAATTAGAAAGTGTATAAAGTAGGTGTTTAAAGATAACCTTTAAACACCCAAGCCTCAAAAATGTCTGCCTGGCATTTTCAAAAAAAAGTATAAATATGCCAAAAAATTCTCATGAACAAATGCTTTGGCTCATTTCTCCAGAAGAAAACTTATAAAAATGAACTTGCGATGTGTCATTGTCTTACAGTATACTGTCTTCTTAAACAGTGTATGAATAGTGTGAAATGAAAAACAAAAAAACTAATAGATTTGAGTTTTAGAAAATAAAATGCTGCCGATGAACATAAAGGATAGATTTAGTCAAAAGCATTAAAAAATCAACAGTGTGGAGTTTTTTAGTCTTTCTTTCTCAAAAATCATCCCAACAATGTAAACTATATAGATTATCAATACTTTTGTAAGATAGAGTACCAGAATATTAAATCATGTGTGTTGATTTCTGCTCTTGCAGTTTGTCAGGCTGCCTGATCACAGAAGTCGGCTGTGCTTCTCTGGTATCAGCACTCAAATCAAACCCCCATCACCTTCAAGAGTTGGATTTGAGCTACAACCATCCAGGTGACTCAGGAGTGAATATGCTTTTGGCTGGACTGAAAGATCCACAATGGAGACTTGAAACGCTAAGGTATGAAAAGATCTGCCGAAACCACAGAAGACGACAGGCTTGAAACTCCCTTATTCTACTTGTCAATTAAGTATTTTTTCTTGTGTGTGTTGGATAAGATCTTGGCAGTAATAGCTACACATGCAGTAGCTTTTTTTCTGCTGCTTCAAAAACAGGAAAGTTCACAATCTCCGGGAGTAGTGCTTCCCCATTGGACAGGAAATACATTTAGACCTACACTGTGTCAAACATCTGATTTGGCTTTAAATAAAGGATTATATTTCCTTCTAAGATATTTCAAGTACATGTTTTGGCTTTACACCAAGGGCAGAAACAAGGAGAATCTAGTACATTAGTTGTTTATGTTTTCACACTCTCAACAGATTATCAGAAAATGTTATAACATTTTTAAGTCAATGAAAAGTGAGAACCACAGGTCTGAACTTTAGAGATCCTACATTTTAGTGAATCTGTCTAATGTAAGATGATTCCTTTACCAATGTAGAGCATGTTTTATGAGAGCCATGTAATGTTTGCATGCTGAAAGACACTTATGCTGACTCATCCTTTTCTTTTTCAGGGTGGAGCCTGCTGGTAACAGATATTTAAAACCAGGTCCATGGAGGTGTAAGTTTGCTTCTGTTGTTGATTCTTGACAAAAAAGCATCTTACTCAACACATTCATTGTTGGTGATATATCAAAGTATCAATATATTGTCAAATAATAAAACAGTACCTGTACTTATATAGCTTTTCTCTCCATCAGATGCTTGCCAGCTGACATTTGACCGAGACACAATAAACCAAAATTTCCAACTGTCAAACGACGACAGGAAGGTGACAGATATGCAGGAGGCTCCCTCAGACCCTGATGATCTAGAAAGAAGAAATATTCCTCAGCTGCTGTGTAGAAATGCTATCAAAGGTCGTTGTTATTGGGAGGCTGAGTGGAGAGGAAAAATAGAGATATCAGTAACTTATCGAGGAATCCGAAGAAGAGGACTTACTAATGACTCTGTGTGTGGAAAGAGTGACGATTCCTGGAGTTTGAGCTGCTCTGATGACGGTTACACTGTCAGTCATTATAAGAACAGAAAACTCCTCTCATCATCCTCTTTTTCCGTTGTCTCTAACAGAGTAGCAGTGTATGTGGACTGTCCTGCTGGCAGCCTGTCGTTTTACAGAGTTTCCTCCGACTCTCTGATCCACATCCACACCTTCAACACCACATTCACTGACACCTTGTATCCTGGATTTACAGTCCTACCAGGTTCCTCAGTGTTACTGAGTTGAGTATTCATTTCCTGCCTACCATACTTGATGGTTGACATACAAATTGTTAATTTGTTTTCGAGTCAAGTTACTGCAGTTGTGACATATTTAGGTTTTGAGGTCCAAATGAGTGACACACCTTCCTCAGCCAGTTCTTTGCAAGTTAAGGCTATATGTAGACTGATAACAAATGAAGAACTCGACAACTTATGATAATGCTGAAAATGTTGTCAGGATGATTTATAAATGAAAATACTATGTGGTTATTTATTTTGTAATAGGGATCAGAATTATATATCTGTAAACTACATTTTACATAAACAACAGTCCTGTCTTGACTTCACTTGTATTGTTGAATGATCTGTTCCCACTTGTGTTTTATTGTAGGATGTTGACTTCTGATGCTTGCACTTTCTCTGTTCATCATGAATATATGTGCAGTGCTATAAAAATGAAATACAGAACAGATTGCTTCTTCTCTAGCTTTTTTGTCTAACTTAAATGTTCCAAATCATCAAACTAATTCTTTATAACAGACATTAAATAGAAAGTAAATGATAAAACTGCTTTTAAAAGATGATTTCATTTATTATGGCAAGAAAAGCTTGGGAAAATGGGTGTGAATAAAACTTATTTAATCATTCTTATACTCCTTCCTATCATTCTTAACATTAATCATTTTCATGATTCCTGCTTTACTTATGAAATTATACAACTCAAAAAGTCTTTAAACAAACAAGTTACTGTACATATATAATAAATATACACAATCGCAAGAGCTTACACACACATATATCCAAACATACTGAGAATGAAGTGCATAACAGAAGTTAAACATAAACTTCTTCATGCTGCAGATTAACTGAATTCATGTTTTAAGAACAAATTAAAAGAGAAAAACATTAAGCTCTTTAAATCTGAACCTGTGGGTTCAGATTTTATTTTATGCATTTTTCAGTTATATCATCACATTTGGTTAATATCAGGATTACAACAGACCTCAGAAGGGCATAAAAATCTGTTAAACATTCCTACATGTGAGTTTACAAGAACCTGGAAAGAGGTCACACTGCTGTATTATAGAAAATGGAGGATTTATTTTAAGCCTAATCCAACCAAACAGTTGAAAGTCACAATAACCCAGATTCTACCACTGAATAATCTCCTGAAAAACAGAAAGTTGCTGATTTATGTATTTTCCTCTCAGTGTGAAGAAAATTGAGGATTTTTCCCTTAATAATCTCTATGACAGACAGACTGGTGAAGAAATTTACCCAAAACCAACACAGTCGATGTTTATTCATGCATAACGTTTGAACTGGCCACATAGCCATCCTGCAAACTGATTAATGTTGTTATTGATCCAAAGTTATGCCAATGATCACCAATTGCAGATGTATTATTTTTTTATTTATTTATCTTTTTTTGCTTAGGGCCTCCTCCTTGTGTGGTCGGCCTCCGGCTGTGATTAACAAAAGACAGCTGCTCTGGTTGGTCTATTTTTCAGCAGTGAAGTCATGATGAGTCTTCACTGCAAACAGTTCTGCTACCACCAAATTAATGTTTATATTTGGATATTTCAGAGGATATTTCTGTTATTTTCATAAGTAAAGCTAATGGGTCTTTTTGAAACCAGAAACTCTTCATGGGTACTTTTTATTTTGAATGTGTCGAGAACCTCCTCTGCAGAATCTACTCTAACATTAATTTTCTTGGAGCTCGTTATGATGCAAGAGTAACCATGAAAACAGTGAAAGTGTTTACTGCTTATTGCCAAATTAGTTCAGAAGACGGTACATTCCATGTGTACCATAAGGGGGAGGGAAACTAGAAGCTGGTGGTTTCTTGTCGTGGTTGTTGAGGTTGAAAGTTCCTCAACGGGGTCGTTGGATTTCCAGAGTTCCCAAATGTCTCATTTCTAAACTCAGAAATCGAGGTTGGTACTGTTGGCACAACAGGGACGTGATAAATGGCTGGCAGGACGACGATGTCAAGTTTGATCTCTGGGTCTGAAGCGTACGGCACATCAAGGTACACCTGGGGGAATACGAATATTGGTTTACATATTTATGGTGATTAAACTGAATGCTTTGCCATGTCATTGAGCCATAAATTTAAAACGCTCTTGTCTTTAAAAACAGGGGCCAAATTTCTAAAAGTGAAATCCCGACTGAAAGAGATAAAAGCTGCATCACATGGCAATTAGCTCTATTATTTTCCACAACAGTTTTCTATGGAATTTTTGTTGGCATCTATGTATGGATAAATCATAGAAATAACTGAAAGTAATTTCTAGATAACTGAAAATATTTAATCTCAGAACATAATTAAATAGAGATTGGAATTACAGGTGCTACTGCAATCATAGTTCCTGTTTTTCTGTTCTGTTTGAATGAGTTGCTGTGGACAAACTGCGCCCTAGTTTCATATGTTCACACGTTATGTACATAAGTCCCACCTTCGGAGTAAGAACCATGAATAATAAGATAATGAGTTGTTGAAAAGCCTTGATTTAACATGTGGGACGCCTGCAGCCAGCGGTAACAGTAAAAAAGAAAACATGTCCACCCTACTTTTACTTTCCAAAATCATTAATTTGGCTCCCCTAAGCAAGCAATGAAGTTTGACTAGTTTGATTTGGTTAAACTTTTAAAATCATAAGTACATTCCTTCAGCTTTCCAAACATTTGTAATATTGGTATTTACCCTGAGTCTGTACCCTGCTTTGATGATGCTGGAGGAGAGGATTGAGG